GAGTCTGTGTTTACACCACATGAGTGGAAAGGGAAGTTTAGTTCCTAGAAAGCAAGATCAGAGATTTCAGCCTGCCCCAAGCAATATCAGTTACGGATGATCAAGTCGGAAGATGATGAAACCAGAATTAATTCAGCAGCAGATGGTGTTGTGGGTTTTTTTCCAGCTAAAATGCAAAACATATGGATAGGGTAGAGTAAAGTTTCAGTGGAGGACAAGGAAATGTTTGTTTAAGTCAGGGAGCAAAGAGAAACATCAAAACTAACAAAAGATATGCAACATGAGCTTTCCAAAAACAAGATCTCTTCATAGCTTTCCATTAACAGACTCTCCTGCCAATAGAGGTATTTCCCAACACCTACCACGTCCCCCAAAAATTACTATTTAATACTGCTGAACACTTTTTTTTCCTTTGGTGGGACATACTTGCACACCGATAGACTGCTGAACTTAATATTAATAGTTTCCACAGAAAACTTTTACAGCTCCGTGATTACAGATGGGTAATAACTATTGTCTAATAAAAAGAAAATTTGGGCTAATTTAAAAGAGTCAATGGATAGTACTGTAATCTATTGCAGTTGCTTATCTAGTTACAGAATTACTTACGAGAATAATTAACATTGTATGGGAAGTGTGAAATGAGTACCTCCGTCCTCCAGAGCTTATGATAGATACCTCAGCATACACAGCCATTTATCTGGCATGTAACGATCTACTCATGGTGGCAAGCTTAAACATAGCTTTAAGTGTTTCCAGAACAGCAGCCCAGGAAAGAAAACAAATTTCAACAGCCAAAGTGCTTTAAAACACACCTATTGGAGAAAAAAAAAAGAAAAAAAGACAGGTTCCTTCCACTCAGCTGCTTCTTTCCTAATGTAATTGCCAGTAGCTGGATCTAGCACAGAGAACTTCAGTGTAAAAGCTATTAGGAAAAATAAATAAAGAGGAATGTAAAAGATGAAAAGGTAAAGGGAGACATGCTTTGAGAACTGGAGGTGGAAGAAATCCAGTGTTCTCACAACAAATCTTGCAGTGGAGAGCTAAGGTCATAGAGGATGAACATACCCCATTTGCCTTATCAAAAGGTAACACTGTGTCCCTGATTCCAAGCCACAAGCAGCTGAATTAGTTGCCAAAGGCTCCACTCCTAAATTCAATTAGTAATGAATACTTTTTTCTAGAATACTTCATCTCCCTTTTGGAACACTAGAAAAAAACTGAGTGGTTTTAATTCATCAGCTACACTTCTTACTCCCACTGTAATTAGAAGAGTCTCCCTGTAGATCATAGAATCATGGAATCATAGAATGGCCTAGGCTGGAAGGGACCTTAGAGATAATTTTAAGATCTATTACATTCTGCACTAGATGCATTATACTTTACATGCATAATTTCCATACTTGGCAAATACCAACTTTTCACCTTTGTGAAGCAGTGCCACAATGTATTGTAGACAGCCAGGGCAGGTAGGAGAAAGAAAACTTTTTAGGTGATTCTGGAAGGAGCTGGGTGGCCAGATCCCGCAGCCTCTCTACACCGGTGAGGAGGAAGGCAGCAATGCTCCCCTTCCTTGTTTGAGGGCTGAAGCAGAGAGCAGGTGTCAAACACAGCAGATGAAACAGAAGCAGCAAGATACTCTTGCCCAAGTAGGGAAGAAGGTATGTGCACACAATCACACCAAGGATGATGAAATGTGGAAGTTTTCACAGCTCTGCTCTTTACTGCTCACTGATGCTAAGCATACCTGATAATAAAACACCATTCCCTAAAAGTCCTCTCTCCCCTAGTACTTTGCATTCTGCCCATTAACGCAGTTTCAGATGGGCCCCATCTTTCACAACATGCCCAATGCCAAAGCCTAGTCTACTTGCCTTGGCTTCACCAACTGGAACTTCATGTCCTATTATGGTCCACTTCACTCGAGGTGCCAGCCAAGCATGCCTGAGTGACCATCTTCTCTTGACTACTGGTCAGCTTCCACAGCTATTCATCTTTTACATTGTTGTTCTTTATTTCTTCTTTGGTTTTTGTACATCTTAAAAGGCAGTATTACAGATCAACACTGATGTTTATCGTCTATAGGTCTGGAGTCTCCACTGACTCACAGAGAATCAAGGCCATCTTCCCCCTTTGGAGGACTAGAAGATGGATGTTTACTTCAGTGTTCTACATTATTACGTCTTCTCCATAACAGACACCCCTCTGTGCTTTATGGGATAGTTGTCCTCCATGCAAGAATTCTGGTGAGCTTTATCCAAACATTACTGCTCTCTAAGAACTTTCTTGTTCAGCACATACCCAAAACCACAAAGGACAGAAGTCCAACTTTCTTGTCTTCTCAGATCATCACTGCTAGGACAGCCTAACATTACAGCTCCAAGCCATATGGAGTGAGGATAGGAACTGTTCCCTTTCCTTTTGGAGCTATTTCAATTCCTGCAACACAGCTCAGGTCTGGTTGGTAAATGTAAGAGTAATCAGCCCAAGGGTTCTGGGCACTGACTGCAGCGACCCCATCCAGTCCCTGGATAGCTCATACATTGACTCTTTAAAATGCAGTACTGACACAGATCACGGGACGTTGAGGTTCTCAATCCCCAGTAAGAACTTCATCTATGCTATTTGCTGGAAGCCTACGCATTGTATTTCGGCTGTAGACACCACTACAGTGGAAAGACATAAGAATTAGGAATTATAATCTACATCCTTTTGTGGACTTGGTTCCAGAAATAGTTGCCTTTGATGTTTATATCAATTCAAAGTCTTCTCATCAGAAGTTAGTTTTCATACACTGAAAAGACACTTACAAAAGCAAGACAGCAATTTCAGAATTCCAAAAAGGATAGCTTTTTCACATTTAAAAGAAAAAACAGCCACATGATAAAATCAGAGAGTCCCCCCTGTGACGGATATCTGAAAATAGACACTATACACAGTCACACAGAGAGGAAAGCTCTTTGTTGAAGTTGCACACCATCATCAAAACTATAAATCCACAAGTCTTTCAGTGGTTGACGACAACAGAGAAAGAATTATTTGTCTTAATTGGGGAATTTAACATTAGTTACTGGTTTAGCTGCCAAACTATTTTCAGCTTTCATGCTTCACTAAACTGGATTATTTAGCTCATCATTCACAAACCCATTATTACACTGAAGAAAATAGGGAGCAATTAGCATACAAGATCATAGCTAAGGTGGTGTTAATTGGAAGGAATGAAGTATTTTTGAATCCTGTTGTATACAATTTAGTGAGACAACCAGGTTCTGGAAAAAGCAATTTGCTAAACACTTTCAGTAATGGCTAGTCTAAAAAAAAAAACCTTATGTTTAAAGTTTAAGCAAATTCAGCTTTGCAGGAAGTGCAGTACAACATGCCTTTGCAGTATTTTACTTCAGTTACTACCATGGAGGTTGTAAACTAAAAGCCTTTCCTGCTTCACAGCAAGCCTTGCTGAGGAAACGTACACACAAAAACGACTAATTCGTCACAACAGTAGAAATAATCATTAACTAAGCTCCAGTTCCCAAAAAGAACTGAAGAACAAAACCAACAAGGAAACAGAATGCAATATTCATACGGCATGGTACAGCATGATGCTGATACACAGCGAGCTGCAAGACCAGTTGAGTTATAGGACTGTGCTAAACACAACCAGAAATAATGGAAAACCATCTACAAAGAGCTACTGGTGGAAAAAAAAAAATAATAATTGTGCATGCTCACAACTGGTAAACAGAGGGAGAAGTCTTGTACACGAATAGTTAACCTGCCAAAAGGAAGAAAGATGCAATTCTTCATTACTAGTGAACTGCACTCAAGAAATAAGATGGTAGACATTTAGGATATAGAGATATGCCTTGTAACATTAGTGATTTGTTTTCAAGAGCTACAGCTTGGTGATTTTAATTCACTTTTACAAGATTTTTACCGTATATTATTTCTAATCTATTTACAACACACGTACAGTGTATTTGCACCAGTAGGTTTTATTTAATTCCTAGCTGCAACAAGCCTCTGTATTCGTAGATGAACTTCTACATCGCTTTTTTTTTGGCTCAGAACATATTTAATATTTTCTTCAAATGAGAGCAGTCTGTAAACCTGTGACACACCCTATTTTTAGGATCACACCTATCTCATGTTTTCCTTTCAAAAACACAGCCTAATTATGCTTTGGAATAATACCTCCCTGTACTTCATATGAAAAAAGCTTCAACAGGTAACACCACTCACAAAAGCGTCTCTCCCCATAGAAAACGCTACTGCAGTTGGCAAGCGGACTGTAATGCACAACTGCAGCATACAGCCCATGTCATCATGCAGGGGTGGTGTTTCTCTGTTTACTGAAAATGTTATTGAACTGTTCCCCCACTCCAGGCAGTAGCATCGTTTAATCCTAAACCCTTCAGAGAAAATACAAACTACCCTCTTTTTCTTCCCATACAACTCTGGAACTCTCAGAGGTGGTGAGATGGATGTAGTAGTTCCAAGGACCTCGCTAGCAGAAGCAGACTTTCCCCTAAAACTCTGAGTGTGTCAGCATATAATATAAAGAAACTTCTTTAAAGGAAAGAAATAAATCACCACCTACTATCACAGTTAAAACTCAAACACTGACATGCGTATATACAAATAGACATATCCATACATGCATATATATATTTATATATTTCTCCTCATGTTTGAATTATGTAAAGAAAATTAAGGCATCCGTGGGCTAATCTGGAAGTTCTTCAAACATTAAAATATCTTCACACAGAAAACTGAGAAGAGCCAAGAGTTCACTGATGAACAACAGATTTTTACCTCTGATAAAAGAGTAATTTGAATTAGCTGATGTTTTAAAAAGCATTTAAGCTCTCACTCCCACTACGACTTCTACGCAGACCTATTCCTATCCACTGTGAGCAGCCTCGTGGAGGTCCATTCCCTCCCGGTACCCGAGCTCAGCCACAGCCTCCATAGGATAAAAGCCTTTATCCTTCTAAAAATACCCGCCTGCCAGGATCCGCTCTCGCAAAGCCCCGTGATGCAAAACAGCATCGCTACAGCCCAGGGGCTGCTTCACTTCCATGAGTAAGCACTTGCAGCACCGGGCTAGATAACCGCTTGGAGTATTTTTAGGGTCGGTGCTGAAAATTAGAGAGAAACGACGGAGAAAGACCTCAGGATGGGTTTGTTTGAGGTTTTCAGTGTGTGTGGTTTATTTTTTTTTCCCCTTCTGCTTTGGCCGTTTTCGACCGCTGTAAGGCAAAAAAAGAAGCCGGGGTGAC